TTAATGACATTACCTTGTTATTCTGATTCAGATTTAGTACACGACATCTGCTTTGTCTTTCAGTGTAATCAGTACCAAGATGTTATTATCCTACTAATTATCTTTCTCCCATCAAATTTCTGGTACACCTATTATGTCAGTACCCATTAAAATCAGGCATCTAGTTTCTCTTCTCATTAATTGCTGTTGTAGTGCTGGCTCAGAAGCATGTATAGATTTGGCGCAGCTTTCCCTTTTTGCATGCTGTGTTTAGGTGAGACTTTATTTGTTTATTTGCTTTTTGCCATGTGCTGTCTTAGTTCTGCCAGCTAGTTTTTAGACAATACAGAATAGTTGTTGCTTCAACTCTACAGGATGCATCATTATGAGCTGTGTAGAGGACACGCAGAAGGCATCTCCTACCTCTGCCAGTACACTCCCTAATTTAAAAAGTCCCCGGTAACCTTTTGGACTGTTAAATGCTCACTAGCAATGAGCATTTTCCTTCTGCAAGGTTTGCCTTGCCTCAACCTCCATGGTCTCTAAAAAGTCTTATTTTATGCATGTGGCCTTCCCTATAAATATGTAGAAAGCAATGCAATATAAGTAGCTGCTGATCACCTGCTGCTTTGCCATTCATTGTGGGCATTATTCAATAGGTATCACAGCTGAAGCAAGTCCTACAGAGCATTAGAGTAACTTAGATCAGATTGTAACATACCTGTAAAGAGTTTGTCCTGTGAATCCTGTCCTATGCTGGTATGGCCACATCTTAGTTTTGAGCCAGTGTTGACCTTTGAGCCTGTTCTTGAAGCAACTTCCCAGCAGGACTCCACAAGCCAGAGCACCTCATTTCAGGATGTGCTGCAGGCACTGCAGGTGTTTGGAAAGTGCCTGAGTCACAGCCCCAGTGAACACATCCCGACAACTCTTGGGGGCACCACATTTTCTGCAAGCCCTCGCTCTTCCCCAGTGACGTTCTTCCAGCAAAAATGCTGCTTCCAACTGATTCCCACTGTATATAGCCCAGCCTTCACTGACACAAGGAGTTCAGCTGGTCATGACTCCTTATCCTCTGGCTCTCTGTGTCACTGACAGCTGACATTTATGCATTTATAAAAGGATGCATGATTTCGACTCCCCACACAGTTCTGGGCAGGAGGAGGAACAGACCTGTATATGTAGCTGCAGTGTTAAGCTAGTTAGTGAAGTCATTTATCAGATCATTTGATGGGACATGCTGCTAACTTTGGCTTTCCATTTTGGTGCCACAGTTTCCAGACATAATATCTGGCCTTGGTTTCTTTCTTTTGAATGTACCCTCCATAGCCTCTTGGAAGTTCTCGTGAAGTAATGGGAAAGGGGAGCTAGAAGATGCATGCGAAAGGTGTGATGAGAGGAGGAGGGTGATGCAGTGTGTCCCAACCAGAGTGTTCTGGAAGGGCACTGGATCCAGCAGCTTGACAGAAAGCTGATTTAGCAAGGTTTTCAACAGCCCCAGGGGAGATGAAAGGCTGAAAGCTGCATTCGAAAATGGATCAAGTAGCTGAAAACTGAATGTACTTTCAGTGTAATGCATAAGTATCCCTCACTAAAGAGGTTACCCTTTTCTTCTTCGGACATCAGAGTATTCAGCAAGCTTTGTGGAGAAGATCCCAGAACAATTCAGAACTGAAAGATCAGGGAAGTTTACTGTGACAGTTTCCTTCCAACTCCTTTTGGAAATACTTGCCATCTTACTACTCACATCTGTAATGAAAATTAGAAAATAACACACTTCGTGGGACCAAACAACATCTGCTCTCTGAGAGACCATTAAAAGTCCTAGCCAACAGAATTAGCTATTGCCTTATCACGCTTTACCGATAGCGAATGGAAATCATCATAAGAAATATTTGTGGACACAGAAAAAAAAATTTTCTAGTTATTATCTGCCATCACCAAGCTGATTTTCTTAAGCAGATTTGGCACTAACAACCAGCAATAGCTAATAAATTCAATGTTAGGCTTACAAGGTTCTGACAGATTGTTGGCAGCTGCCTTAAATGCAGGGAAGAGCTCTCTTAGTGTGGGTTGGAAATGCTTATTTATACCGTACTGTGGGTCTGTTTGCCCCAAATTTTGCTGCCTCCTTTTAGTAGATGTCATTGGTGTGATATATGCAATGGGTATAATAACTGATCAGAAAAATAGTATCCAGCTACACTAGAGATCAGTGCAAATGGATTAAAGATAGGAAGCTCAAGCATAAGCGATTACATTTTTACAGTAAGAATAAGAAACATTTTCATTTATGAATGCAAGATTTGTGGTAAGGATGTAGCTAGGACTCACCATGGATGTTTTTATTTTACTGTGAATGTTTCAGTGATTAGCTTTTCTGTGCTAAGAAGGTTTTAAATATTACACAGAGGTTTTATACTGACTTGCTGTTAATTGGTGAGGACTCTAGAAGAGACTGGCTACACAAGTAAACTAAGTTTGTTCTTAGGCTTCCTTTTAGCATGCCTTAAAAGTGGAAGATGATGTACTCAGAAGTAGGCACAGGCTTCGATAGCCTGTGTTTAGCTTGGTTAGATAGAAGTCTTCTTTGGAGCAGGAAAAACCAATTGAAAAGAAAACTTCAGAAAGCCTGTGTGTTCAGTTGCAAGCAACAGAACGTACAGCTGGAGACGTTTTAGATTAATTGAAACTTTGAACAACCACATTTTAGTCCAAAAATTCCCATTTACACAATGGACTCTGAAAATTACAATATATTTGTAAAACTGAGCTCCACCTTTTATATTCAATGTGTTTTATCATATCTTATTTATATCGGAATGATGTAAAATGATATGATTTTATCATATCTTATATCGGAAGAAGAATCAAGGATCTGTCCCAGCATTGGGTGAAACTGGGTAGTTGACAAGCCTATGACCATTGAAGTCAATGCTGAGTGAGGGGATGAAGAAATTAAAGAAGTAGAAAGTTCTTTCTAACTGGAAAAGAGAAGAAAAGAAGTCAAGAAGTTGAATTCTGCAGTGAAAGTAAGTTGGACATCGTTGACACAATTTTCTCTTCACATGCGATGAAAGTATCTCTGGACAGTACAGGACTGATGGTAAAAAATTCAGATTAACTACGTTGCAGTGTCCAACTTGATGTACAGTTGTTTATGAGTCAGATGATCAGCACTTTCCATTTCTGACTGAGCATTCCCCTCTTTTGTCTTTCAGAACATGTCTTACAACTCCATGGGAAGACTTCAGAAATAGTTATAAGCTTCTTTATACTACTACACCAAAAGAGCCTTCTTTCCTCAAAAAGGAAAAATAGAATAGTCTAGAAATATACACTGATATCGTGCAGCAACTCTAAAATTCAATTAAAAAAAATTGCTGACAGCATTTCACACAACCAAAAGAAATACTTAAAGTAAAACACTAAATGCTGTTTTGGAAAGTGTGTGGGTGATGCAACCAAGCGTTATGCACCGTGATGAACTTGCAGAAAAAATGGATAAAGCATAAAAACATCCCATTGCCTTTATAACAGGTACATCATGCTTCTTTTGAGTCTGTCTCCTGAAGGTATCATGCAATGCCCACTGGTCCTTGTACCGGGACAGGCAGTGAACTACCATTCCCCAGGTTGCCTTTTCAGTTCCTCTTACAACTTTATCTATCATATCTCCTCTCACATGTCTCTCCTTCGGCCTGAAGAGTCTTAGTCTTGTCCTTGTACAGAACCTTCCGAAACTATGATTATCCTTGCTGCTCTTCTGTGAGCTGGACTAAAAAGGACAAAATACCACACTATATTCGATATAAAGATGAAGCTTTCAGATGTATACAATTCTCATGCAACAGGATACTCTCTGCTCTGTTCTAAAGTCCTTTCCTAATGCTGTCTAACAGATAGTTTGTTTTTTGACCACTACTGAGTATTGAGCTAGTGTTTTCATAAGTACGGTTATGCCCCAAGGTCCCATTTTTGTGTGTATGATTTAACTCAGAGCCCATTAATGGCAGTAATCCCAGGATTGTTCTTCCCTTAAGTGCATAATTTATTTAGGTTTACTTACAATGAATTTCACAGAGACTGTCTCTTGTTACTGTTTCTCTCACTGAAATACCCCACTGCTTTATTAATGGTAATTGCCTTTCTCTTTCAATTTGTCCAGCTGATCAGCAATTCAGACAAACTAAGAGCAATTGTTCCTTACACCACTTACTGCCTCTCTGTCAGACCTGATGAAGGTACCATATGCCCAAACGGTTTTGTGATTGTCTCAAGTGATCTAACAAAAGATACTGCTGCTTCGTACAAACATGATTTTTCATCATCCAAGCCCACTGTTAGCGTGAAGGACACTGCAAGATTTGTGCACCTCTTCAGCTGTGGGCAGAGCGCTCTGTCTTGAGCTGGGAGCAGGAGGGCTCCAGCTGCCCAGTTTGTTAGTTGAACTCTACCCATTTTTTGTCTGATAAATACTATTTTGAAATATGGGTTAAATTGCTATTGAAAATTTACAATTCCAATATCAGGGTAAAGAAAAGCTTTGCAGACTGCCTCTTTCTATGCACTTGAATTTTTTTTTTTTTTTTTTTTGAGGGTAAATCAAACAAACAAGCATCTACATGATTCCCTCTCACAAAGAGACATTTGGTACTGTGACTGCAGTTTTCTGACCATAAATATCTTCATGACGGTCTGAGGAAACCATGTAGCATGTCCTTCCTCACTAGAGGAAGAAGGGAAATGTCTGTATTACAATATAAATCTTTATTTTCTTGGAAAAAAGTTCAATTGAATGAAGAGAAAATGCATCAGAGAAATGACAGATCTGCATAAACTGAGTAAATAGCTGTCCTTCTTAAACCCTTGACATTTGTTCCACCTGACTGTGTGTAATCTGGATGACATGTAGGTCCTTGTGGGCTTAGGCAGTAGTGTTTCCCATGGCACTAAAGTATGACATGAAGAAATACTGATGCAATTTGTAAAATGGAAAGAAACACTGACTATTGTCTTACCTTTTTCAGAAGCCGGGGCAAGGTCAATAAAACTTCGACATTTTTCACCTTTAAAAGAAAAGGATTATTTTAGGAGACAGAAGTTGCTTGGTTTCGCTCTACCTCCTCTTTCTGACTGGTTTTTCTGCCATCGTTCCCACCCAAGACTCTACAGGACCCCTAGGTTGTCTCACACAGAGAGCAGACACTTACCTGTGCCTCCAGCCTGGACCAAAACTGCTATGCTCACAAGGCTGGACTCTCCCTTAGGATTACAGTCCCTTGATCAGGAGTATGAAATACAGTTAGTGAAGAAAAATGTTGTCTGTGATGCTTGGGTCCCTGGTGGGTCAGTGCTGCTCTTCCCCAAGGCCAGGAATAGTGTTGCCCTCCAGGTGAAGTAGCACTGGGAGAGCACAGGCCTATTTCACCAGCAGTTTTGCCCTCCTGCTTCTCATCGTCAGGACAATGCCTGTGCCCCACCAGGGTCTGACTCAACATCCCAATGCCAGGATGCATTGCCATGAGCACAGATGTCTCAACAGATAGATATGACACACGTGACTACGACAGACAAATCCTGAAGTACAAAGCAAGCTAAGCAATTGCATAGAATTTTTAAAAAATGGTTAAAAAAGCAGGCAAATGCCTTGCCATGATCATCGTACAGCCCCGTGCCACTCCCTCTGTTTTGTGGCTGCTGCATCCACTTATCATTGTAAATTAAATTTTCTCCATTTAGGACTCCACCTCCATTTTTGCAGACATTCTTGAGAGGCCTATTGCTTCTGAGCAGGAAATGTATCTTAAGGATGGATGTACTGACCTTTCTTTTTACTTCTTCAAAGAATCAAAGAGATTATAAAATAATTCCTCTGCCCTAGGTGCATCCATACACCTGGTGTATGTGTTTCCTTCCATATGATATGTCCCAAGGTGACCAATAGCCTGCCTCGAGGAATCAGAGCCCAGCATGCCTGCCAGAGGTAGTGGACAAGAATCCATTTTGCCCTTTAAGACTTCAATTGATGCAAAGACAGCTTCAGGAGGAGGTTTTTTTATTACTTTTGCTCAATTTTAATTGCATAGTGAAAAGACTGATTTAGGAAATGTGAGCCATTAAAAAAGAATAAACAGTGAAATGCTGTAGTGACGTTGAAGTCAGTGTGTGATTTTTTCTGAGTTGTAATTAATTATGTGTACAAGTCAATATAAAATGTTAATTTATCTAGTATCTTTGTTGGTGGGATTGGGATAAATGTAACCATTCAAATGCTAGCTGTGCTGAAATAACAATCTATTATTATAATCCTATTATTACCACATTTATTTTTTTTTTTCAGTTTTAAACCTATGCTAACCATGCTAAAAAGTGGTGTGTACATAGTCTGTAGCATGTTTGTCTCTGTATATGTTGCAATAAAACACAAAGTTCACTTGACATTGAAATGTATGTTTCAATATCTCCATGGCGTAGGGAAGGACTTCTACTCTATGAATACAGGCACTGTCAAGAGGACAGTCAAGAAAAGGAAGTGACACTTGACTTATCAAGCACCATCTCCATTTCAAAAGAGGTAGGTAGGGCAGTCCATTATCTGAGCAGAAGGAATGTCAGATGAGTAAGATATTAAGTTTTGGGATAGACAGACTGAAAGATGCCTGGTGCTTCACAGAAATCACAGCATCCTAGAAGTCTTGTGTTGATGGGACCCTGCAGGTCTCTTGTCCAGCCTCCTGTTCAGATCAGGACTATCGCTAACACCTGATCAGGTCAGCTGTGACTTTGCCCAGCCAAATCGTGATGGATGATGATACCCATTCTTCAGTGACTCCAAGGATGGAGTTTCTCCCATGCTCTGTCATCTTTGTAGTCGTCCTTCCTCTATTTGTAGGGACATGAACAAGCCCAGCTCCCTCAGCTTCTTTTCATATGTCGTGTACTTTAGGCCCCTGACCAAGCAATCCAGATAAATAGGTGGACTATAGAACATACTGTGCTGTAAGTAGGAATCACACTCATCCAGAGCCTCTGAGCTTTAGGGCATGAGGTGTGTCAGGAGTGCATTGACATAAAATAAAGGGAATATAGAGAGTGTGACCTTTAGAGGTGGACTTGATATAAGCAGATTAAGCAGGATTTTTCATTCTAGCCATATGGATCTGTGGTTTGGTTTTGGTTTTGTGTGGTTTTTTTAGTCGTAAGCTATTACTTTTATCACAGTTTTATTTTTACTTCAAGCTAACTGGCTAGCACTGAGTCATCTCTCACCTGTGGTTGCAGTTAATCTGAAGCCACATTGCGGGAAACCTTTAACAAATACCTCACTCTCTAGCATGTTATCCCAAGACAGCCAAAGGGGGATGGCATTGGCTACTACAGAATCTGCACAGGCTGTTCGGAGAGCTGGAGATAACACTGTGCCTTTCAGATACATGGCAAGGTACAAAGCCTTCCTGACATGTGTGGGTACTGAGGAAGCTGATGGTACCGTAGCGTTTGGCTGCAGGTGCCTTGTCTGCAGGACAGTTGTAGAGAGTGTGATCACAGGCTATTTGAGGGAATGTGCATCCTCGTCCTCCCTCAAATAAACTTGCCCAGAACACCATCTCTCCCAGGAGAGTTGGCTGTGGCTGAGGCCTCCAGTTTAAATAATATGGACAGAAAATGCTGGACTGTCCAGAAAAAATCCTTTTGGAGCCATAGCATGAAGAATGACTGTAGACTGGAGACAGACAAAAGCCTGGAAGGAGGTCACTTCACTTTCAATGGCTGATATCTGGATTTTGCCTGGCTTACTGCTAAAGGTTGTGGTAGGAATTGCACAAGCAGTTCCTGATGAAAAACTCTTCCCTTTGTTGTTCCTTTTGCTGGAGCACTGGAAACTCCTCCTCCATTTTCAATGGTAACCACTGGTGGTATTTATAGACCACATTCATACTTCAACATGCAGACATGCACCTCACTGAGAACTGAAGATGTCAGCAGTGCTTTCACTGTTCCTCTTAGGATTTATTCTAAGTTATTTTTGGGTCTCTTGTATAACTGATCTCTTAAGCCCTCTTAAGTTTAATTTTAGACTTGGCAGAGTTTATCCTGCTGTGCCGCCCTTTTCCAGATGCATCTTCTCTTCATAACCAGGCTCATGGAGTCTTTAGAGAATACAGAAAAGTCTGTTTAGAAATGCAACAAGAACAGTGTCTAGGATTCATCCCCCTGATACTCCTGCCTTCACCCAGTTGTGGCAGCGATTCTGGCAGAGAAAGCCAAGGAGTGATCTCTCCTGTACATAGCTCATACAGAAAGAAGAGATGTGACCTGGCTTGAATGCTCTCCACTTCCATGCAGGAGCAATGGCCAAGTACAGTGTATGTGAAGCGCTCTGGAGCTCAGCAGTGTCAGGGAGCTGCTGGAGGCTGAGGAGAAAGGACTGACTGACCACCTAAACATCAGTAAGAGCTTGGAACCATTTATTCTCTGGCTTCCGAAGGGTTAGGTAGAAACATGCAAGCTCTTGCAAATGCATTCCCTTATAACCAGACTGTCTCTGCATGGGCTCAGTTGTGTCTCTGCTGAGTATCCCGAGAAGGGGGCATGAGTCATAGGGGCCTGTGGGTCTGAGTACCAGCAACTGGAAAACCCCAAATTTGGGTGTGTTTTTCTCTAATTAATCCTAATTAATTAATCTAATCCTGCATATGTGCATGTCTTTGTGTATTTGTAATTCACTAGGGGATTTCAAAAGGAACCAGCCAGAGAGCAGGAGGACACATATCTGGAAAGACCCAAGGTCTGAGCTGGTGGCTAGGTAAGAGCCAGGAGGTCTTGGTATGGATAATAGACTTAGAGCCCATGATAATACCTGAGGGACCATTAGTGTGATGTGCTTGCTCGTTTACGGAGGGAAAGGGTGTGCATGTTTCACTAGTGATGTGCAAACCTGCTCAGCCAGAGAGGAGGAAGAGGAGCGAGCTAGCTGACGGGAGTGATGTTGCTGTTTCTGTGGGTGCTGGTAAAGGTACAGCTCTCTCTACGTTGGTCTATGTGGCCAGCCACATTAGTGTCATAAAGAGAAGTAGCTTTTCCAAATCCCCCAAATTCAATTCTGCCAGAAAATTAAGACAAACAGGTCCCATAGAGCCATCAGGTCTGCACAGTATGCTGGCTCCAGGGCTGTGAGATACTTTCCCCGTTATGCTCTGCACACCTTATTGTGGGCACAGCACGACTGCACTGTGACAGATCAGATGTTCCTAGCTGCAGCTTCCGCAGTGGATGCAGGCATTCCACATTCTTCTAGGGGTCTACTGGAAGACCCTAAGGAGCAATTAGGGAGCTATATAGGGCAGCTGGAAAGGCAGGTCTAAGTGCACATAGGTTGGCTGGGTCTAAACTATAGCACACGTAGGTACTTCTGAGCTCAACGTGCACACTGGAATCACTCTGACTTTAAGCCTTTGGGAGACCCACATGCATGCTAGTGTTTCTTCCACTTGTTGTCTAAAATGTATGGTTTGTTTGCTTCTGTCTTCAGGACCACACACTGCACAACAGTGGTTGAATTTGTCCAGAGTATACCTCAGTAAACTGGTGGTTTAGACTGGAAATTGGGAAGACAGCAGAAAACACACCCAAAAAAGCAGAAGCTTTAAGACAAGGTTCTAAGTTTATAACATGGCTGTTGTAATAGCAAGGTCCAGAAGCTGATGTCTGGGATCATACTCGGGTCTCACATTCCCGAGTTCTCTCTGAGCCAGTGGTAAATGCCTCATTAATAACGAGGGCACCAAAATAAAAACAACTCTGAAAAGTCCTAGTTTGTATTTCTTCCAACTACATGGTTTCAAAATATTCTAGTTAATTTGACAGAAAAGAAATCTGGTAGTTCTGACTCAGAGAAGGATCTCTGTTATAACTCTGCTTGTCTTCTTGCAAAAAAAAAGAAAAAGCTGTCTGTATTCCCTTACTCTGCATAAAATTTTACGAGTTCAGAAGTACAGTTCTGATGGAAATTTAAATGATTAAATTTCATCTAAACAGCATTCCCTTTTAGTAACACTCTGGCTCC